TCTCCTGAGGTTGTCTGAAATTAAAGATAGTGGCTTTTCAACTAGCAACAACAGTGATTTAAAGGAAACACCTGAAAGCTCAGGGACACATGCATTTTTGCCAGGTTCTGTTTTGGGAATCTTAAGGGCTTTGGAAAACCACAAAGGCCTTGGAATTTGTGGGGCCAATTGAGTTTAGACAAAGCACAACATCTGCAAATATGCAGAAATCTTCTTTGCTATGCTTTTCTGGAGACTCACTATTTTAAATGTAAAATGTGTGGAAATGTAAAAATAGAGTGGTGACTAACACCAGGTGATACAACCCTGCAAATGAGGTTCAAATAGTTGACAGCAATGTTTCAAAGGGATTTTGCCATATGTGGTTTCTTTCTATTATTTTTTAATTGAATTTATTGGGGTGACATTGGTTAATAAAATACAGATATCAGGCGTACACTTCTATAACACATCATCTGTATATTATACTGTGTGTTTACCAGCCCAAGTCAAGTCTCTTTCATCACCATTTATCCCCCCTTTCCCTTCTACTACTTACATGCATGGAAAAAGCTCCTGGCCAGGAAATTCTGAATATTATTATCAGTTTTAATTTTATTATCAAGTCGCTGTTTCTTTGGATGCAAATCCATTTTCAGGCCAACTTTGAGAATGTCCTTTCCTATCCATTTTCTCTTCTTCTGTTTACTTTCTATTCATCCAACGATGTTCCTTGGACCCGTCTTTTGGCATTCTCCCACAGTTGTTAACTGTCTTGGCCATACTGCTTATACACAAGCTTCTTTTTCTTTTTCACATCTACATTAGGTAAACCAATGTAAAGCCAGAGGGCAATAAGTGCTCCTAGCACAAATTAAGGTTAAGAAGGGTGAAGAATATATCTAGAAAGGAAAGATATATGACATATTCCCCTTAATGTTATGCACTAAGGAATCTAGCCTTATATTTCTCTATTTTTTCCCAGAACATTGCCTACAAACTGAAGGTGTGCCCAAGGCTTATGTTAGAGGCTTAGATTAACAAGCCAAGACAGTTGGGATTTTTTTCTGCTTGAATATCCTTCCTGTTATGTTTGTATCCTTGCTATCTTCTCAAAGCAAGGAAAGCCAACAGTGATACTTTGCCCCCTGCTGCACCGCTCTCTGTTTTCATGCTTGATTTCTGTGCTGCTGTCTGATATCCACTCCTGAAGTGTTTTTGGAGCTATGTCAAGCAGGGCAAATACAGAAAATGAACAAGGTACTGAAGCAGTGTGGAAAGGAAAATAATCATTGGCTTCTCAACCAATGCATAGTGCTTTCTTTTTCCACTCAAATTTTCCTGGAGTTTTGCAGTACTTCGTATGGTGCCTTGCCTATAAACGCTGCTGGTACATGCTTATTGAATGACTAGATGAAAGAAGTTGAAGAAATCATCAACATTTTTTTTTCATTCAAAACTAGCACTAAACTTTCCTTCAATCCAGCAATTTCTGACCTTTAACGAATGTGCATTAGAATCACTTGAAAGGCTTGTTAAATGCCATCTCTAGCTCCATCCCTAGAGGATCTCCAGTTTTTACAGGTTCCCAAAGTTATTGTGATAAAAGTGGCCCAGTAACCACTCTCAGATCTTCCTGATGTTTCTTGAACATAGGTACAATACCCTTGTTGACTTTCCTGTTTAATTTTTACTCTTACATGGCATTCCCTGGGTATGTGGTGTCACTTACTAGGAAGATGTGACCTGTTTCTTTTCAGATTATTCTGCCTTTTGGAAATATTTTTAATATTTTGAAGGGGAAATGTGGGTGAGAATTTGAATAATGTTTATTCATTAAACATACTTTGGGTAACTGTTATATGCAGAGTCTTGTTTTAGGTGTCTTTAAACTAATCTGTTCCTCTGTTGACCACAAGAACAATAATAGAAGCATTATATTTACAATACCATTGCAAAAAGGTATCCTTAATTTATTGCCCAGAAAAGTTGGTTTACAAGTGTTTTGCCTCTCAAGAGGTATACAGATAATAAAGTAAGTGAAATCAGCATTTTAAAATGCCTGGCATAAATTGTTATTTGTTTTGGGCGAGTAGCCATTTACCAGGCTGTTTTACAATTTATAGCATGTTGTTCACTGGGTCTTAAACTACTTTATGCAAATCCATTCATTAAGCCACCAAACATCCTGACAGGATCAAAATAAGTGCTCCTTAGTTTGTCAGATGGTCAAACTGATCTTTAAAAGAGTTAACTATTCCAAGGTTTCGGGAGAGGGACATACCATTTGGCTTTTTCTTTAGAGAATAAATGACTTCTCATGCTCACACTACCAGTCCCTTAGTTCCTAGTAGCCAATTCTTCACTATTTTATTATTTCTTTCCTTTCCACATAAAAATCCCTGATGTGTTTTATAATATTCAAATGCATATTAAGTAGAATAATCAAATTTGAAAAAGGCAAATCTAAAACCAATTGGAAGCTATATCCCTGGCATCCAACTTACTGCAATTTAATATTATATGTACGTGTACCAGGGCATATAGTCTCATTTTTAAATAAAGGAAGGATATGCTGACAAGATAATTTTTTCCTGTTCCTCATTTTTAGGAAAAATGAACATAGTGAACCAAATCTGACTATAGTTTATAGAAGATATAGAAATATTCTTTAAATATACTACATTTTCTATATCAACCCTATGAAAAGACTATGGATGTAATATTTAATTGTAACACAATAAAAATATTGCCATGTGAGTAATGATTATGTTAAAAAATAATAATTTATTGAACATTTGTGTATACCTGGTACTTCATGAACAATATCTCATCGAGTCTTCAAAATGGCCTTTCAAAGGAGGTTTTACCGACAAGGAAATCAAGGTTCAAAGACAGTAGATATCAGGTGAGGGTCCCATAGATGAAGTTGAAGACTATGGATTATCACTTGTTCTAATTACTTCAAGTTGGGTACTCTTTTCACTACAGTCTGAAAATCTAACATGTTACAGGAACAGAGTTTAAAGGACCTACAGCAGTTCTCAAATGGGAGTCATCTGGCACTATCTGGAGACATTTTTGGTTGTAGCTTCTGGGAGAGGCATTACTGGCATCTGGTGGGTAGAGGCCAATGATGCTGTTAAACGTCCTACAATGCACAGGACAGCCCCCACAACAAAGAATTATGCAGTCGAAAACATCAGTACTGCCAAAGTAGAAAAACTTTGCTCTAAGGGATGGTTAATAGCATTGTTCTTAGACTATATTCCTCACCATCACATATCTTAAGCAAATTTTGGCAACTGCTGAAATGCTGTCAATTCAGGGTTGAAATTGCTAACTTTAAGAATTTTGTGTTGTGCATTAAAGAAATTTTCATATGCTTCAGATAACATTGATGCAGATCAAAAATTAGTATTTGTTATAAAATTGTAGAAGTCAGTAATATTATCCAAGCAGGTAATTTTCCTTCTTCTAAGGTGAGGGAGTACCTGTTGACAGGACCGAACTTTTTCTTAAAAAATAAACTTTGAATCTGTTTAAGCTGTGGGATTAGTATTTATAGGAAACCCCAAAATCTGTGCCATAAAGCTAGAAATGGTGGCCAACTTTAAAGTGTGTGTTCCAATTGGTCTTCTTGACTGTAAAAGAGTTATAGGATGATTCGTTTTTTAATAGGACTGCATCCTGTTGTGTTCACAGGGCTAAGTAGCTGCATGACATAATTTGGAAGATTTGAGCAAGTTGCCATATTTAGTAATTTCAGTTTTAATACAGCTGATGATTAGTTATCCTTTCTAAAAATAATTAGCAAACACATCAACTCTTCACTTTCTCTTGCTCTTCATTTTTCTTATAATTATGGCTTTTCAGTTACTGCTCTTTTGATCTTTTCATATTCAGAACACTATTCACTAGGTATTTTAGATACATAATTTATGTTCCATGGTGTAGCAAAGTTGCAGACTCTGTCAGGACATACAAAGCATTAGAAATTGAAGACGGGGCCTCTATGGATGTACCTTATGCAGTATTGTTTAGTTTGTGAGAAATGGTTTGAGGGATTTGGATAGTATGTTTAGTATATTGTGTGGTAGACTGAACAAGTGTAAGAAAATATTACCCACAAAATCTTGAACTGAAAGCTTCCATGTTCTTAGCAAAATTACACCCACAATTTTGTTGGCGCTCACTTTCTGGTTCACCTTATTGTCTTACCTTGCATGCACTGAGACTTTCCTCTCCTTAGCTCCGGCCTATCCTCTTTTTCTCTGAATCTGTCCCTATGTCTTTTTCAGTTAAAACTGACCTGGATTATCTGATTACAATAATCCTTTCATCTTAATTACATTACCTCAATTGCTACTGCAATTTTTACAGTTGATCAGTAGACATCTTTGGAGGTAGTGGTTAAGGGTCCAAGCTCTGGAGCTAGACTGCCTGGGTTTGATAGTAGATCTGCTACATTTTTATAGACTGTGTGACCTTGATCAAGTTATTTAAAATCCATGTGCCTTTGTCTTTTGGTCTGTAAATGGGAACATCTATTAACATGTTTTCTGTTGTATATCTATTAATATACTTTTCTTTTATAAGTTGTGATAGTTAAAAAAGTTAATGCATGTCAATTACTTAGAACAGTGTCTCTTGCATGGTAATTCTTCAGTAAACATTAGCTATTATTATTTTATTTTGATTACATAATAAGAGAAAGAAAACCTGAATTGGTTACGTTCTTTACAGGTGATTGTTTCAGATTTGCAGCTTCTTCAACTTTACCTGTAGTAACACACTGAAGATAAGTGAATGAAAGTATTAGCTGCATCAGCATCCAAGAGTGGGAACCTCCCTGCAATGTTAAGTTCCATTATTTTTAAATTGAAATCTCTCTTTTTCCTACCTTGCTGGGCAATCCAGCATTGTTGGCCTCACCACAGAGGTGACATCATCCTGGCTCTGAAATATTTTTAAAATAACGTTTATCACAGATGTAAATTATCATTCTTTCTTTAACCCAGCAGCTCCACCTTCAAGGACTTAGAGGGCAACAGCCTGAAGGATAGTGGACATGAGGAGAGTGACCAGACTGACAGTGAGCATGATGTCCAGCGGAGCCTGTATTGTGATACTGCTGTCAATGATGTGCTGAATACCAGTGTGACCTCCATGGGATCCCAGATTCCTGACCATGGTAAGGGCTGGTTGGGTAAAAGTTGCAACCATAGACTCCAAATAAACAAGAATGCTTGTAGGAACACTGTCTTACTTTATTATACTGAGTGTGTTGTCAAGGTGAACAGTATGCTCATGACTCAACAGTTTCTATAGGGTTTTGAGGTGTCCTGATGCATGACCAGATCCTTCTTTACCCTCCGTGGATGGGATCTCCTATAATTGTATAATATTCAGGCATTTTATAAGCTGAATATATGTATATTGCATAAATTATCTTCAATTAATAACTACACTGAGCACATAGGAAATGAGTGGATGCCTTCTTATCAGGAATAAACACCATTTTTATGTTAGTACATGGATTTAATTGAACAATCAAGTTTCATAGAACATAGCATTAATGAGACCAAATGGGTGAATTTTATTTCCATATCAGGCAGGTTAACTTTGTTCAGAGAGAGACCATTCTCTGACCACAGATTGCATACTCTTTACTGTGGAGGGAAAGTACTAGACTTACTATTATGTTTATGGGACTGCTTTGCCAGATATCTTTGGTTACTACATAAATCAATGCTATTGTTCATAAGAGATACCAGGGTAAGAAAACATGGCTGACACAGCATAACATTTGGTGCATGTGAAAAACACTTCGAAGTACAGGGTCCAGCACAAGTAACACCTGCTTGAGTATGTTTGGTAGGGTAATAATTTATTGTTTTAATTTGAATGTTTCACCTAAAATTTCATATGGCATGCTTGAGTGTGATATTGTTATGTTGCAGAATTGCATGCTTATGATTTTGTAATAAAAAAGGGGCATTATTTGTGCCAGACCCTATACATGTCAGGAGTAGCATGTTCATGTATGAAGAAGAGTCTGTTTTTGTGAAATCAGCCACAAATACTTTAGCAAGAGGAGCTATTTAACTGGTAGGCAGAAACCAGGGTACAAAAACATTAGCAGAGTTCAGCTAAGGCAAAATGTTCAGATGGACTTGGGCATAAATGTCATTTTCAATGTTTGACGGATGCAGACTTGCGAGGCAAACAGCCTGTCTTTTTCAATTAAGAACTATGAATTCAGCTTTGTGTTTAGACTCAGTGAATCTTCAGAATGCTTGGCTATGTCTTGAGAGAAGTTAGACGCAAGCTCAACTGGAAGCCTCACTGCTAAAAGACTTAAAGATGAGAAAACAAAATATGATTATGTGCTGGTCTTTAGCTGTTTTATTTCACCATAAACATCATTAAATGCTTTTGTTTTGGTTTTGTAAAGGAATCCACAGGGAAAAAATGCATGATCCACAAAATAAAATATTTTCCATGGGGAAAGTCAGTCACTGTAGATTCTATTAAATTGTCTAATCCATCTGGCCCCAGTAGATCCAAGTGTCAAAATCTATAATATAGAAAGGTCACTGCTGATTGTGCACTTCTGCCTTCCCTAATTGGTAAGTGATGACACTGTTAGAGATAATATATTTTCTAGGCAATCTTACTTATACTAATGCTAAAATATTTAAACATTCATATAGCTTAAAAAGAGACTTTTTAATTTTCAGATTAGTATTGTGTCACAGGATACAGACTGATATGTAACATTTACCAGTTTTGTGTCCCAAAGAAATGCTATTTCATTTATATCAGAAAGAGTTTTAGTTAGATGCTCTGTAAAATTAAATGACTTTAGAAAAAGAAATAGTCATAATATATTCTCACTTTATGCTTGCTAGAACATCCATTTTAATTTCTTGTCATATTTCTCCGGGAAAACAATATCAGTGGGCTTCAGCTAGTTTTTTTTTTTTTCCTGAAGGAATGTTCCTTAAAAATGGGATATATTGTGTGTGTGTGTGTGTGTGTGTGTGTGTGAGTATATATAACATACAAATGAGAGTATTCTAAAGCAATGTGTGGCATTATCTCAAGACTCTTCTACAGAAAAGATGGCGATTACACACACACACACACACACACACATTTTTTTTTATCCACTTTGGCAACACTTTCACATTTTGTTTCTTAACATTTAATGTTCATGTATGTATCTTCATTATTTTCATTATTCCAGCAGTGGCTAAACTTTGACCCAATCCTTGTGTTTGTTCTTTTCAACTTGGTTGAATCATTAAAGTTTAGGTACAAAGGGAATTCAGGACTTGCTTATATTTCAGGTTCTTCCTTATGATATCCCAGTACTTCCGAGCTTTCAATAATGATAATTATTGTATTTCAAACCAACTTTAGGCTAACTACCCAAACTGTGTTACCAATTTGCTTGAGTTGATTATTGTTACCTCAAATAGCAGCAACAATTTCAATAACTGGCATTTTAGAGCATTTTGCTATCTTAAACGTGGATTCACGTGTTTAAATGTTTTTTATTTTATCCTAAAGCACAGTGGTTGAAAGGCAAGCGCTGAGTTAATTTACCATGCATGTGTGATCTTTTAACCATTCTAATTAGAATAGTTTTAGTTAGATTCATTCCAGGGTAATATGATATTGTTGTTTCTGAGGACTACCAATTTAGAAAATTAAGGAGAAAAAATGAATCTACTCCAGACTCACACTGGCACCGAAAGTCTCAAAGATCCCTTAGAGGAAAAAAAAATAGTCCCAGGTCTTTTTGGTTTATTGATAGTGTGATGGGCATCTCAAACCCAAGTGCCCTGAAATCCTGGGGGTTCCAGAGCTGAATTATTTTTGAGGTTTGAGTGGTTGCCTCTGGAGAAGAAAGGGTTACAATGACCTTGTCAGACTAACTCTGATCCTGATGATGTTTCTTCTGGTTCTGTCAGAACAACTCCATTGTTGGGCCAAATATACCCAATAGAGTGTACCTTACATTTTTGTTTTAGAGAATTTGGCTTACCTTGTATTTAATGTTGTTAGCTCACTCTGTGATGTTTCTCATTTGGATATTAGCAGAACATCTTTCTTTGCACATATGTGGACACAGGATTGATGGGAACCTTAGGGTTTTCAAAATAAAGATAATTTTACTTATCTGTTATTTTTTTTCCTTGGGCGGGAACGGGTTGTTCAATTAGTTAATATTGTGTTGCTAGTGTTTAAGGAAAAGGTACAAACTACATATGCCCTAGATTTCTGAGACACCTGGGCCCTGTGCTTATTCATACTGCCAAAAGTATTTTTTTGGCTTTGTTCTTACAACTTTACTGTAGCTGAAGAATGCCCGGCATGAATGTCAAGGGTGCTTTGTAACTCTCAGAGTAAAGGCTTAAATTTCTTAATTTTCAGCAACTCTTCGTTGAAAACACATTTCAAGGAATGGGAACCCAGAATCATTATATTTAACCAAGGAAGGAGAATATCTGGAAGGCTTTTTCACTCATAGGGCAAAAGTTACAGTTTAGCCACTTAACTTTGGATTGTGCTTTGATTATGTTTTTATTGCTTCTACCAACACATCTGTGAGCTGAGTCAGGGTGGAGATAAAATGACAGGAATCTATGCTTTCTGGATTTTTATCAATCCCGGTATTATTCTCTACATGCCTAAAAACCAGGTCAGTGGGTTGATGAACTGGTTGAGCTGAATTTCCTGGTTGCCAGGTGACTGAATTGAAAATTCATTTATCATCTGCAAGTGCCTTTGAATTAATTTGTCTCAGCTTGTCCCATGTACTGTAGTTCTTATTCCGAGAAAAGAATGTGATGAAAATTCTTTATCCTATACTTTCTACTGGCATATGACCCTTCGGACCCTTTGGGATGTCATTTCTCTGTAGTTCACAGAGTGCCTTGGGAACAAGTAAGTGCTGTCACTCAGCACATTTAACCACCTGGTTTGGTTTCTGAGGTGATTTGATGCTGAGTTTGAAAGTCTCAATCTAATATTTTAACAATGCCTTCCTTCCTTGAATTCAAGTTATTTAGTAAAATCACCATGTTCTGGCAGGGGCAACAATTTTGTCTCATGCAATGTCTGCAATCTCTAAGAGGAGTAAATGACAAGTAGGGTGGTCAGAGGTGCTAGGGGCTCATGGGTTTGGTGCACAGTTTGGGGGTATCACTGGCCTTGAGTCTGTTCCTATCAGAGTTATTTCTGAGTTGAACAATGGTGGGGTTAATAGGCTTCTGTCTTCTCCTTGCTTGTTTGCATGACCATTTCTGATGGTGTGTATATTCTTGTTGTACTTACTTAAACATATAGTCCTGATATGAAATTGGAGATCATGTCCTAGAACTGTGCATACTAGTCCCAAGCCCAACTATTTTTTTTTCATATAGCACTTTATCTCTCTTACTTTATTATTTGAATTGGTTATAAATTTGTCAGCTGAAAATATAGCTCTAATTGCTCTAATATGCACCTACTTTGTAGTTCACTACAACAACGAATTGGTTTCCTTCCCATTCTAATTGATTCCAAATGGAAGCAACTTACAATAATTTGCAATGACATTTATCTCCTTTTCACATCCAAATACACCCAAATGCAATAAAGCAATTGCTTTTTTTCTGGAAGTGTAGGTTCTTCTGCATTTTGCTAACTTGTTTATTTGTTAATTTTACCACCTGAATATCATTTAACATGTTTGTTGTATAAAACATGGATTTGAAGAACTTGATCTGTGCATAATGCAACTGCTGTTACAATAGCCATGAAAATGTTCTGTAGGCTGCATACTATGCATAGTTTAGTTTCAACCACAGGTGTACTAAGATATTTAAACTTTCAACACTGTACCAAGAATGTACAATTTCATTTCCTCTAGCCTTTTAGTGAAATTATAATTCACTGACAGAACATCCCTTCCTTATCCTTTTACCTATCCCCCTGACTCACCTCCCACATTACTAAACTCATTTCTATTAGTCCCTTGGCAAAATAGGGAGTTCTCAATGGAGACGATTTTGTGACATTGCAAAGCAGTGTGCTGCTAGGTTCTAGAAATGATAGCATGTACCAGATGTTCATAGAGTAATTGAATATTCCATTTTATGAGAATAGCATTTGATGTCAAAAAGTTTTATCTTTACTTCA